TTTGTAAAGCACCTTGAATTGCCTTGTGTTGAAAGGTGCTATATAAATAAACTTGCCTTGCCTTAAAGAAATGCAAACTGAGACGTCTTTCGGCTTTGANACACACACACACACACACACACACTCACACAAACAGTAACAGATATGAGTCAAACTCCTAGACAGCGAGCCACACATGAAACCCATTTCCTCAGTCAAACACTGCATTAAATCACCTCACCCGGTGTCTGTGTCTCACATGTGTGTGTGTGTGTGTGTGTGTGTGTGTGTGTGTGTGTGTGTGTGTGTGTGTGTGTGTGTGTGTGTGTGTGTGTGTGTCTACAGGACTTACCGCTCCCCATACGCCAACCTGCCAGGATGCACACTCCGGCAGCTCGCAGCTCCCCACAGCAGGGGGTTTGCTGGAGGGGTCGCAGAAGTGCTCGCTCATCTTCTCGTCCCCCGTCCCCGAGGTGCAGGACACTTGTCTGTGTCTCATCCCCTTCCCACAAGTCACCAGGCACTGGGGGAGGAACATGGGTACATACGATAAGTAATTAGTTAGCATGAGTTAATCCATGTAGACATTACAAATTCCTGTGTAAAATTGTTGATAGGCTACCCCCATTTCTATCCTAGTGGTTTATACCAGTGGGGGATACCAGAAACACCCTAATAACTAACAGCTATAAATCAAAATGATCAGAAGGTTACATTAGTAGTTAAGTATGGCATAGTCTGAAAGCATCAATAAATCTCCAATATGAGCGTCATTAAGGTAGGATTTACTGCAGGGCTGTTGTGTTTGCCTGCACAGAATAACTAGTAACTGCGTAATGTTTTATTGCGATCAGGTCCACCACCTGTATCATATTATGCACCCCTGACTTTACTGTTGGACTCAATTAGTGCTGAGCTCTGCTGAAGGCTAGTTTTCTTACTGTAGATGTTTCAAAGTTTGCAGATTTATGCTTTTCAGTCCCCTTCTAGGGATACATCAGGAAGAGGTCAAATGTTGTTGCTGCTTTTGTAAGTGATGTTGTGTGGCTGCATGTTGGCGAGCGGTTCCTACCTCACTCCACTCGCTAACAGTCCACTTCGGGCACAGCTGGTCGCTGCAGGTTTCAGTGACCACCCTCTGGTGTTCATTACAGTCCCGGTCTGCCAGCCGCCTGCCCAGGTTGTTCATGCAGTAAGACTCTCTGCTGCGGCTCCCACGACCACATGTCTTAGAGCACTGTTGGCAAGAAAAAACATGTAAGGCCCACTTAATCACGTGTGCATACCTGTTCATGAAATGTTGTTGACACTGAGATGAAAATAAGAAATTATCTTCAAAAACGTTTGAATTTGGTTCTGTCCTAATTGAAAGATGATGTGTTAAAGTTCAACACGTAAATATGCATCACATATCATTTTGGGCAGCAGTAGAACAATCCGTAGGGACTTGGCTTGCGAACATAGGGTTTGCCGGTTCAAGACCCAGAGCGGAACAATTTACGGAATGTGGCTCTATAATAGCTGAACGCTACTGATGATTAAACTTAAAGATTCATTTGATTCCTCCATTTTCATATGCATTAAAACAAACATAAAAGGCACATATGATACATTATCAATCATACATAAGAAATACATAAATAAATGCAACTGTTATCCCCAGTTGGACTACGTTTCCACTTTGGTTACCTTTCAAATTATATTCAGTGAGTCCAGCATATAAAATACAATTGTGCCATACCTGTGACCAGGCGCTGTACTGCCAGCTCTCCAGCAGACAGTCCCCATGGCAGGGCTCTCTGGTCTGAGGTTTGGCGGTGTCTCCACAGGCGCTGGCCTCCATCCTCTCACTCTGTCTCTTCATCAGGACGTATTTCATACACTGAACGTCCAGGCTGCGGTAACCTGGGCCACATTTTGCAGAACATTCGCTCTTTCCAGCGACATGCCACCTGTGTGAGAGGAGGCGTAGATAAAGGTTTAGCTCTGTGTTATGTACGGTAGTCATTTGTTTTGTGTGTGTCTTTGTGCATTAATCCATACCTGACTTCACAGTCAGTGTTGCAGGGCTCAGCAACAGCAACAGGTCGAGGTAAATCTTCACAGCGTTGGTCTGAAACCTCGAGGTGATCACTCTTACGCACGCATACCGCTTTACGTCTTCGCTGGCCTGCACACACACATAGAGAAAAGCAGGGTTTGCATTAGATAACATCTGGCAGACAGTATGCTAGCCAAAATACTACATTTCTTCACCAAGCCTGACCAGCTTTCTAGCATTCAGTCCTTGATCATATAGCCTTAGGGGTCCATGTTGGTCTAATAACACCTCAAATACACCTCTTTACTGAACCATTATCAGCCCTCTGACTCGCTGGGGGCCCGACTGGCTCGCTTCTTAAGAGGGGCTTAATCAGGTTAAGGGCCAGGCGAAGGGGAAGGTGTCGAGCAATGGGATTGGCCGGGGTCACATTGGGGTTGCCAGGAGGGGAATTTATGGATGGAAAGTATCAGTGAGTTACGTTTTTAAATCCAGAGTTGAGTGTAGGAAATAGAAGAGAAATGCTAGTCCAAATGTTCCCTGACACTTGGATCCATCTCTATGTAATTAACAATTTTGCCGAGTGACGCATAATGGTTCGTATAAATGTTATACTTGTTTGAGATTTCTAATTTGTAGAGTTAATATCAAGCTTAGCTGTGAAATTGTAGTGTCAGTTTTAACACAAGGTTCTTTAACAGTAAACTCTCAAGAACATTTTGTAATAATAACCATGGGCCTAAAAGCACATAATAATGTTCTGATGTGTTTCATAACCGCACGACAGCTTCCAGATATTGTTTTCAATTAGTAAAGCTTTTTAGGATCCACTGAAGTCAAAGAGAAATGAACATATTCTTCATGTGTGGAGACTTGGAAGCCGAGCTGAGGTCTTACCCTGACAGATGCGGTTGCACTCGAGCCAGGAGCCCGAGGGGTCCCACACAAACTGCTCCCTGTGTTCCTCGATGGGTATGTTGAAGGAGTAACGGACATCTGGGTTGTAGAGGTTTCCCACACACAAGACCTGTGGGAAAAAATGGTGGGAAAGGCAAGGTCAAAAGACTTAACAGTACTTTACTTATTTTGTCTAAGTCCACACAGAGATATCACCCTTTTAGACAGAGATCTATCTCTGGTAGGAGGGAAGACAGCAAACTGTAGTAAGAGGGAACAACTGGGGAATATACAGTGTAACTAGAGTGGGAATATCCTTCATAACAGAGTTAAAAACAAGGCAAGCCTTCTCCTAGTACCTGCAGAACGAGCTCTTCATCGATGCGGTCAGTGCAGTTGATGCGCTCCACTTTTGTGTCCGAGCCGCTGTAGTCGATGACGCTTCCCTTGAAGTTGATTTCCCTTTTAAACATGGCCACCACAAAGTTCCCATTCAGGAGTGAGTTGGACTGGCCGTCAGATAACGCTGGAAAAAGAAATGGACACAACCCATGAAAAAACACAAAACTCCATATGTGAAACAAATCTGCATAAATTGAGGAATGTTTGGTTTCCTATAATGAGTATGGCCCTTGCAGAATTAAAGGTGGGGTAAGTAATTTTGGAGAAACCAGCTCGAGTGCGCTAGAATTAGAAAATACACAACCGGAGAAAATCTGCCACTTCCTTACAGAGCCCCTCCTCCAACACAAACGAACGCGCACATGACCAATGAGGGCACGAGATAAGTTTGTGCACAGATGGAAGGCTGACAGGCAGGTAGGCCATCCAGTTATTTTAGCCGGGCCGGCTAAAATGATTGGTCGTGCTTTTCACAGTACTACGGCTTCCACAGATGACATTTTTTTTATGGATTTTTTGTCAAAGCACTTCAGATATTCATTGCTATCAGGATGTTAAGAGCATTCCATGGAATATAACAACAAGTGTATCTCGAGCCGGTTTCTCAAACTTACCTGCCCCACCTTTAAGGTCTTGTTTATAAGACGTGGCATTTATCCTTCCAGGCTATATGTTAAGTAAACATTCTCTGTTTGTTATGTCAGTTGCCAACCTATTGTTTTGCAAAGCCATGGTTGTAGGGGAGGTATGTTGAAACACTGGTGACACCAAATTGCAGTTATTTGGAGTTAGACTGCGTGACTCTTCTTAATGACATTGGAATGGAAACAAAGGATCTCCACTGACTGCAAATACAAAAAAGTACATAAACACACACACAAATAACACACAGGAACCCATGGGTAAACACTCCCTGAGCAAACTAGCACATAAACCCAGAGTGTACACCGACCACCTCTCCTTGCCTTGAACACTATGGTTCCAGAAGACATGCTATAATTACAATCTGACAGCGCATGCCGAAACAATGTATGTGATTAAGTCCCTCAGCGCTACTTTGTTTACATGTAAGTCTACAGATTGTTGGATGGCAGTTAGATATCCTTAACCCAAAGATGATTGTGGGTCTGTGGGGTTCAAACAATGATCTACAGACTCTGGTTGTCATCATTGACGTTTTACTTTCAAGGAAAATGTAACCCCTTAACGCTTGGGAAGTGGCCAAAAATAAGTTGAATTAGCATTGCAGCACATTACAAGATAAGTTTATTCTAGTTTAAGGTGTTAAGCCAACATGAGCTTTGAGAACTTTTATAATACTCCAAACCTTTCATAGGTGTTCATTAAGTTTAGATCCGTTACTGAGACTTTTTACATGTTGTTTCATTTCCAAGATAACATTCTAGGCAGCTAATACTTGGCTTAGTTATCAAATTCTTGTAATGGGCCCAAAGTGTGCAGAGACTTTTTGCACCATTGCATTGTAAGTAGGTTAGTAAAATTGAATCACAGCACCATTAAGAACATACTTCAAAAAGTGCTTCCCCATAAAAGACAAATGAGACACAACATAGGACGATATAGAGATTGAAAATAAATAAATGAAACCAAGTAAAGGCAGATATAACATGTGAACTTTTTTCTTAAGGTGTCCAAAGTGTCAAAATCCAACAGGAGAGAGCTTCAAAGAGCCATGACTTCAAAGTGTACTTTTTGCTGGTCATCAGGGAGGTGATCTCTTCAAAAAAGTCTACATACTGTACCAGCTGTAGTTGTCAAATTGACAGGGTGTTGCAAATACAAACCACGTTTACTGCTGACAGCAGAGGCTCAGTGTGTGGTTGTGGCACTCAGGAACAGCGGGAGTCAAGCTATTCACAGCAGCATGGCATTTCCCTGCCTAATGTGTTTCCTAGCAATTTGACTTAAAACATCTTGAACCTGACTTGAACCATCTGAAAATGGGCGCCCGCCCTTACAGCATAGGCAAAAATCATTTTCTCCGTTTTTTTTTTTTACCTCTGTCTGTCTCTCTCTCTCTCTCTCACACACGTACAAGCACACACACACACACACACACACACACTGCGATCCTGGTGGGTCCATCTAACCCTATACCCCTATATCCACTTTCATGCGGCCTGGGCTACACATGCCACTAATTAGCACCTATTGCTGCCTCATTTATCTTTCTCCGGGGCTGACACTCCATTTGCTTTCCCAACCAACCCTCTTTGCCATGACCAGATGGAACAACGCCCCACCGCGTTTCCTCCATATACACTCAGTACAAATGACAGTTTCCTTTCCTTTATGAAAACAGTTTGACAACAGTTTGCCCCATGTCCCCTTGCCCTACTTCACTAAAAGCCTGCCACTACAGCTCAGGGTCACCAAAGTCTGGGTGGTTTATGGTCATGTTAGGGGATAATGGCATTGACCTATGAGATGAGAACTGAAAGGGGTGTAATGTATAATTCTGATTTGTCTGGACTGCTTCCATTTTGGATTGATTCTCCCATGAAAACCCTGCAATGGGATACAGTGTTGCTTTAAAACCACATCATTGCGCTGACACACATCACACTCACCGAGGTAGTTGTCGTCCTCTGGCTTTCCAGAGTAGCTGACCTGTTTGATGTCAATGTTGGTGGCTCCGGCTGGGATCCGCACCACTGTGTTGTAACCTGAAGAAGAATAGACAAACGAGAGACAGACAGAGAGAGACACGGAAAGTTAGTCTCAAAAGGGACCAAAGTGGCCACAATAACAACAGTGAGTGGTCCCACCTTGATACTTATAATAGCTTCACTATGCTTCACAGTCAGGGAAGTCCGGTTCCAACCACTGGGGATTTAAATGTCACACTTGGAAAAATACCAAAAAAAAGGTCTATTCCTCTCAAATAACCTGCAGGAGGCCTTGTTTAAGTCTCAGAGGGACTGACCGTGAAATGATATGTAATTATTCCCTGGACCTACCTTTGGCCTGTAATTACTACACCAGGCCTGTTGTCCCATGATAAACTAACATACAAAACGAGTGAGATGAGAGGGGGAGAGCATGTGAAAGCCATGAGGCCACAAAAGAAAACGTGAGGATGGAAACAGAACAGGAGGCACAGAATTAAATAAACAAAATATAAAGAGAATGGAGGTAATTAGAGAGGAGAAGAGTCTGTAACTTCCCATGAGAAGTATGAAAGCTAAATATTGTTTTACCGATCAAAACGTATCCATGGCAGCAAGTATAGGAAACTGTTAGCTGACATTGAGTGCTTGCTTTGATTTCTACCCTAATTATTCTCTGATCATCCAGTTGTTGATTTAAATTGTCAATTTGCCTATTTTAGTTTATTTAAGTAGATTTTCAGGCAAAGTTTCCATACAGTTTATAGATTGTTTTCTTAATATAAGTTTACCTTCCTTTATTACATATAAAAAAAGGTAAGTACTGTATGTATGTTCAAAGTAAATGCAGGTTATATGTTGAAAACAATTATAAATAAGTAATATTTTTGAGTTTTAGGTACTGACACAGTTATATCAGTAAAAGTATCAAATAATTGACTAAGGATACCAGTTCTACCTGTGAGAGTAGTTGTTACAGATGTTGGCTAAGTACAAAAAAGTAAAGTGCAGATGAGACACAACTCAACAAGGTTGCTTGTTTACCTGCTATTAAATAACTTGAGAACAAACATATTATTTTATAGCAACATTTTAAGGTTGGCAGGGGTAGAAGGCTTTATCCGTGGCGTAAATGTTGCGGTGAACAGCTGTTTGGCTCCACAACAACTTTCTCCTTTTTTTACATCTTGATTAGTCCAGTAACATCATTGGAGGTTCAAATACATTAACACTGTGGTAATAATGGGTTAATGTTAATATTGACTAATTTCATTAATAATGAGAGTTTAGCTTGAGAATTTGAACCAACATGTGTCTGAATGTAATGGCAGTAAAGGTGTGGGTTGGTTTGATCTGATGGTTAGCCTGACACCTTGAGCCACTCGGGGGCAGCACTTGGTTTACATATCTTCCTCTCATCAGTCATGTTAATCTTTACACACACATACACTCACATGCAGACACACTATCGTCATCACAATCCATGTCAACCAGGACTGGAAAACTTCTCCATTTGAGGCCACACTGCACAGGAAGCTTCTACTTCTACTACTATGCATTACTTCACAAAGAAACCATTTGACCACAACACAAAAACCTAATGTATATATAATCTACTGTTGTGTGAGATGTTGAATCTCCTCCTTAAACACTGGGGACAGAATAAGCACGAAAAAGACAGAGATGTATGAACTCTGAAACCGCCAACACGGCCCCCCTCTGTTGAAAAATGCTATCCAAAAGCCACCAGAGACCTCAGGGATCCCCTAGCTTAGCAACTGACCACACACACAATCCTCCGCCACTGCAGAGTGACCAAGGGATGAACAGTATACACACCACGGGGAAACAACAAAACCATGCTGAGGTTTGGGAACGCTGAGGTTTACCTCAAACATGCTTCCCCCTGCCACTAGCAGAAAGAAGGTGATGTATTAATAGCCTGCAGATGAAAAAAGGCGTCACAGGCTCACCCTGATGTTGTGAGATGATACTGACTGAGTTGAAGACAAACATCTGCTTATTTTTATTAATGTGATTTGATTATGATTCCATTGTAACAGAGGAACTATTTAACCTCCTAGTTTGATTTTCCATAAAGCTCTCATTGCTTTAAGTAAAGAATTAAAAAACAAATGGTATGCCTGTATTGATTCCCCTCGTAGACCCACAGCTTCAAGTTTTCACCTAAAGAGACCCACCAAAAAAAAATAATAATAATCAGGACGTCAACAGACGGTCCTTGCACAGCTGCAGAATGTAATTATAAGGAATAAACAAATACAAATGACTTTAAAAACACCATTAGCTGATACAAAACAACCTAATTCAGCATATTGACTTGCAATTTGCTTATAAAGATGTGACTATAATTACTTGGAATTTCATCAAAGGACAAAAACACATTCAGATTTTACTTGGAAACTTAATTTGTCTTGTCAGGAGAAGGAGGTAGGGAAAAGAAAGGCAGAGGAGAACAAAAGACAGAAAGACAGGCCTGCCCTGGACACAGGAGCAGAGGGATATCCTGCCTGGGCTGCACTCCCACTCCTGTTCTCTTTAATAATATCTTGCTAAATTTCCAGGGCCAAGCTCAGAGACTGGTTTGGTTCAATCCAGTCCTCAAACCCTGTACCCCCAGCAGCCAACAGAAAGAAAGCAGATGGATGGAGACGTTAACGTTCCAAACTAATGCGGAGTAAACATGATGTGGGCCACATCCAGAGCTTTTATGCTAATGCTCTGATGCCCAGACATAAAACGGATTGGATGCAATCAGAAGTTGGCTTACAATTCAGCGCCACATTAAGAAGGACAGTTCAAAGGAGTGAAGTAAGGTTTGTGTTTGCTATCGAAAATCAGACAAGAGTATGATTACTGTTTTAATCAGTTTCTAAAGAAACAGGGAAGTTGCATTTTTCTAAGCTTGGCTGAAACACTTATTGTTTCTGAAAATCAAGCTTAACCATAACCAGGCATGACATCAGCCCCAAATTCCTGCATCTAGCGTGTCAGCAGTGCAGCCCCATGGGACTGAAGTCTTTCTTAGCCCCTCTATGTTTACTGCATATCAGACATATCATAATTCATCTGCAGAAGCTGCTGACACCCAGTATGTTTAACAGCAACACCTTTTTTTGTAGTCATATAGCTATTAGTGTACTGTACGTGTAATCGGAGCAGCTGGACTCACCATACTGAGCATCGTTGAAGGTCCCTGCCAAGGTTTTACACGAGGAGTTGTCTCCGCCACACACTCCGCACTTGTCATTCCTGGCTTTCGAGTTGAGAACGTGGTCGCAGCCGGCTTGCTGAAGTGGCACGGATGAAGAGAAGGTAAACACTTAGGATGTACAGTGATGTAATGTAACATACTGATTCGTTTGAATGTTTTGAATAACACATGTGTAAGCAGTGTTTCATATGGACACCATGGATTTGGCAAAAGCAGGTGTTTGTGATTGTGACACTGCACTAAAAAAATTATAATTTGCAATAATACAAAAAAAATCCTTTAAAAGCATGAATGAGCTGAGAGTGTTAGGTTTGTCTTCCTCAATAACAGCCAAACATGTCAAACAGCCCTACTACATATCAAGTTGGTACGAACATTTGGTAAGGTAAGCTGACGTGTATGTGGAAGCTTGTGTTGGTGTGTGTGTGCATGAGGTCACCATACCCTGCAGAGGCCTTGAACACAGATGTCGTAAGTGTCTGGCCCACACGGCGTGCCGTCGGTGACGCGGTCCTTCAGCTGATAATACGCTGTAGTCCCAGCAACCCGGCAGAAGAGCTTGCAGCGATCCTTCATTAGTACTGTATGGAGTAAGAAAACAAACTATGGAAAATGTTGGTCTATAGCTCATTAAGTTAATGGGATTAATAAAAACCTGAAAGATGAAACGCCTAGAGATGACTTGCATGTGCCGATGAAACAAAACAAACTATATTTTTGATCTTCTCACTATTATTTGCAAAGGTCAGGAGGCTGTTGCAAGAATTGCCAAAATGTGATCTATTAATTGGAGCAATCACTTTGTATCTGACTCAGGCTCCGGGGCCTGGCCTGTTTGCTTGTATAGAATCAATTAAATGAATGAATCACTCGCAGTAACTTAGACATGGTGGTCTTCGCCAGATGGTAATCTCATGTAGCTGGGCAGGCCATCTCTGGAAGGAATGAGATACGTCTGCATCAGGGAGAGCTGCCAGGAGCTTCATATGGAAGGGCTGTGTGTTGCTGTAATGTTGCTGTTGTTAAGTGTACAGTCTATGGTGTCAACTCAAGGTTTACCATACGCAGCTCTTCGTAAACAAAATATAAAAAGAAAAAACACACGCAGATGTGTACATATGCACTATTTTATAATTTCCCCTCTTGTATTGAAATGATATTCACGTGTTGTAGCTATAGAAACTACAATTGGGCTCTCCTACAAACAGTTTGGTGTGCAGCATGTTAGTTAAATGCATTCAAATTACATTGTATAGTTGGATGTAAATAGTATCTATCTATGATTGAGTCACTACGAGAACATTCAGATTGCACACTTTAGGAATACATTGGTATACTCACTGCCACTGTACTTAGGGATCCAGCGGACGGTTGGAGGTAGACCGTTGATGTTGAAGTGCTTGCCGTCAAAAAGAGAGCACTGCTCTTCGCGGAAATCTTTCTGACCTCTCGGACATGGCTCAGTGTTGCAAGAGCGGAACTTCATCCTGCGACCCACACAGAACTTCCCGCCATTTCTGGGCCTAGAGTAAGAAAAGAAACAGTACTTGATTTCAATTTTTAAAAAATCATGTTTGCTCTTGTTTGACTGGTGCTTTATGACTTCAAACCAACAGTTTACATTTAAATTAACACTAAGAAAGCAAACTGACGGTTGCTTTAAATCAGCTTCAGGCTAACTGAATCCAGCAGTAAGTTTGAGTTAAGCTTGTTTACAGCTTCTTATTCAGGCGTTTCCCTTCTCTTACTGGACACATATTTACATGTCTGTAATGGATCCGATTGGTTCTTACTCAGGCTTGTTGCAGTCTCTGGTGTTGCTCCGGGTTCCTCCACCACAGGACCTGGAGCAAACACTGTAGGGCCCCCAAAGACCCCACTCCCCATGGACTGGCTGCAGGTCCAACTCCTTGTTCACACACATCCCGTGTCTGCAGTACTGCACGAGAAAAGACACACAAAAGAAACATGTAATAACTCCTGCAGACTTGAAGACAAACACACACCACATAATTAATGCAGAGCTGGGAGTGGTGTTCCTCTTTGCCTTCTTAATCCTCCGTTTAGATCTCTAGCTATATTTTTGAAAGAAATCCTAATTCAGCTTTTGTTTATACTCAAGGAACGCGTCCAACTCCTCCAGCTGTCCAAAGAGAAATGGGAGAGGGAGGGAGCGGCACGGATAAAGACAGAAATAGAGTGGAAGACAGTAAGAGACAGAGGGTGTCAATGAGAGAAACCAGAAACTGAAATGTACAGTAGGTGCCACAATACTTTCTGGATGTCACACAAATGTATAATCTATTTTTGGGATGTGGGGTCTTCTTTTTATGGGGAGCTAAGCCAAAAGTTCCTGCTCTGTTCATATCACAATTGTTGGACTGGTTCCAAAATGATATGTTCTTATCAAACAAGTTGTGAAAAATGTACTCTATCAACACAAGATGGAAGTCTATAGTGAGTTTCAATGTAATGCAAACAAAGGCAGGTTGAGACTCACAGGGGGTCAAATGTGTAAAACAGAACTGTGTCATAGCCCCTTTTTTTGCACAAAATCACACTGCTTTTCAAATGAGCTGTCTGTGAATGTGTCTATGAGCTCAAATCTGGCATATATGGTGTCTTCTCTTATTGAGATTAAAGTATTTTAAGCATTGGCATGGTTCAATAAAGACAATTCTACTCTTTGAAATGATTTTAGACATCCAACACAAATTGAGTTTATACCTAATGTTTAAAAATCTCAACCCTTTGCTTTGGTGACAATTAAATGTGGATAACCTTTTTTCCAAATCACTTGGTTTGTGAATATAAAATGATCGTATATCTTTCATAGTAGATCCACTTTGACATAAAAAAATAAGCCGCCTGGTATCAAACAGTGCATACCCATTAACCAACCGGTGCCAAGACGTGCTAGAAACTGCTTTCATAAGCAAAACACAGCAGGCCCATTTCCCTTTGTGTGAAACCAAATCCCCTTCTCAGTGACTTAGATATCGAAGGGTCCTGTTCACTGAAAGAATGCAGGACAGGACGGCGTCTGTCTGGGTACGCAGCCCGCCGTCCGGGCACACAGGCATGGGGAGCAGTGGCACCGCGATAAGGAAACTCTAGAGTTGTGATAACAAGAGGAACCAAGTTCATTACTGGCTTGGCTTCAGAAATTCACTTCTGCTGCTCAGCTTTCTTCAGAGACACAGATTTGAACCTATAACCTGGAAAGCAGGATGCTGTTTGTTGACACCTCAGTTTGTCCCTCTCCACTGTTTCCTCTCAGAGTTGGAGAGTGGTTGATGCACAAGTTGCTGCTTCCTTTGCAAGGTATTTACAAATGGAAAAAAATGCAACTACTATAAGTTCCACCTGCCCCACAATCATTCCACTACAAGACATCCAATCCCTTACTCAAGATAAAAAAAGACGTGAGAACAGAACCATGTGAGATCCGCTTCAGTGAATTTTCATAATTACGCTAAGACAACAGGAAGGATATCAATCAAAGTCATGTCCTGGACAATAGATGATCGGACAAGTTAAAGGTTTACCACAAATTCACAACAAGCAGCCATTACTTTAGGGGAACACCTGCAAAAGTGCAACGTCATGCACATAAACACACGTAAACATACTGAGAATTTGGAACTGTTTCCTCTTATTTCCTTGCCTAGCTTGCATGTGTGTTTTACACACTTATGGGTCTAATGATGGAGTGTAAAGTCTTTCACAATGACAGACAGGTGTTAACAGCTGCAGGGTATGGAATAAACAAGCCACAAACATTTCCATAATGCAGACCTGGTTTGAGTTTTCTTCCTGTCCGGCTCCACTGTAAATGCAAACTGATAAGTTTGTTGGAGCACAAACAAGAGATTAAGACAACCTTTCAAATAAAAATCACTAAGAGATGTGATTAAACATCTGGATGAGAGGAAATGGCTTCCACACCACGAAAAGGGCAAACAGGTGCTGGTCCTTATTAGTTAGCAACCCCCTTAAGACAAAAGAGCAAATGATCTAAGTTCATGGTAGATAAACCAGAGAAACACATTTTAAGATTTTTCTTTGACACAACAAAGAGTATCCTCACCTCTTATAGCTCTAACATTCTCCCCCCTCCCCCCCCCCACACCTCTCTGTCAACACGGACCAGGCATCCCTTATAACACTCTCTCCACAGCCACCCATTCCCTTATCCTTGTCGGGAAATTGCAAGGGACTATGCAGGGACCACCACAGTGCAGCCAGGCGGCAGGACCGAGGAACTGTCAAAACAGGGAGACTGTCTTTGTTCAAGAGCGCGACCAAAGCCCTGTGTTAAGCCTCTGAGGCATCACTCCCCCCACGGCCACCTGTGTTTACAACCGGTTTTTG